AAGCAGCCGCAGAAGAAGCCGGCAGTCTGGAAAGGTCGATTCGGCGACAAGGTCACTAAAGGAGCTGTGCCGGAGTCTCTCAGTGAGATGAAGAAAGTGGTCCGTAAGCTCGGCTCGGGCTGTCTTCTGGCGAGCGACGCTTCGAAAGCCATTGCAGGGGCAGCTCGAGATTGCCAAGTGGTGGCTGCTCCGGGCGCTCGCCACATCAAACAAGAGTTCACCCCGATCCGTTCTCTGTTGAAGCGACACTTGCCGCTGGCTGTCAGAAGCATGCTCGAGTCGAAATCCAGCTCGTCCACGGCAAAGCCGTCGGTGCGAGCAACTAAACGGAAGCTTGAATTTGTGCAAGGAGATAACTTAGCTGAGAATAAGGTCGGGGGCATCAAGAACAAGCTGAGCAGCTGAAAGGTCGTTCAGGCACAAACCGACTCAGTGTGGACTGTGCATAAAGCACTCAATGCCCTGTCAACATACAGAAAGTGCTGTATGTCATCTGGATATGCTCCGGCCGCCATTTTTTCAGACAGCATGATCAAGTCCTGGCTGAAGTTGGCCTCGTGAAAAAAGGCTGGCCTGCGTGTGGGGTTTCAACATCCCTTTCAAAGCGACATGCTGCAACTTAAGGAAGGCAGAACTTGAAAGTGTTGAAAGCATCGCGCACGCCATGTGTTTCAAGCTTTCAGACGATCAACTTGAAGTTTGGCAGAAGACAACAACAGCCAAAAGCAACTTCTTGTCCGGCAATTTTTAAGAAAACATACCGGAAAAGTACTGCGCAAGCACTTGGCGAACTCATGATTGCGATGCCACAAAACACGGTTTTTCCCATGGTTTTTTGCTGGCCAAAGCAATTAGATTTGATGAACACCCGGGCACCAGGTGTCCGTGGCGCGAAATACCTACATACCTACATACATACATACCTACATACCTACATACATACATACCTACATACCTACATACATACATACATAGACACATAGATAGATACATACATACATAGATACATACCTACATGCATACAGAGGTACATAGATACATAGATAGATACATAGATACATATACAGATACATAGATAGATACATAGATAGGTAGATAGATAGACACATGCCTACATACATACATACATACATACATACCTACGTATATACATACAAACATACCTACGTATATACATACATACATAGATAGATAGACAGATAGATAGATAAATACATACATACACAGATACATAGATACATAGATAGATACTTAGATAGATAGATAGATACATACATACATACACACCTACGTATATACGTACATACATACATACATACCTACGTACATACATACATACATGCATAGATACATAGATAGGTAGACAGATACAGATGCATAGATACATAGATAGATAGATACATGCATACATTCATACCTACGTATATACATACATACATACATACATACATACATACCTGCGTAAATACATACATACACAGATACATAGATAGATAGATAGATAGATACATACATAGATACATAGACAGATAGATACATACATAGATACGTAGATAGATAGATAGATAGATTCATAGATACATACATACATACATACATACATATATACATACATACATACATACCTAGGTATATACATACATCCATGTATACATCCATACATACATACATACAAACACACACATACATACATCCATACATACATACATACCTGCGTGTATACATACATACATACATACATACATACATGCATAGATGCATAGATATATGTATATATATATATATAGATAGATACATACATAGATACATAGATACATAGATAGATAGATAGATAGATACATACATACATAGATACATAGATACATACATACATACATAGATGCATAGGTTCATAGGTACATAGATACATAGATACATAGGTAGATACATAGATAGGTAGATACATACATACACACATACACACACACATACACACACACACATACACACACACACATACATACATACATACATACATACATACATACATACATACATACATAGGCGCCCAAGCCATGGATGGGAAGATCTTGGGAATCAAGCGAGAGAGAGGTGGCCTAATGGCGCCTGATATTTGGTGGTAGTGATTGCCCCAATACATGGTCAGTCAAGGATCGGCCCAAGGCTGCCTGGGAGCTGCGAACCATTGCCCTGACAGCTTGACCAGCTCTTGAATGTCCACCAAGAAAACCAGCAGGCTCCGACTGTTGCCCTGAGCCTGTGCAGCATTGCTCAAGATGACGCTTTGCTCTGGCGAGGGGGGCGCTTGCTTCTTCTTCACGGCATTTAATTAGCCTCAGAATTGGGCCTTTTTGCAGCACCAATCCATAGAAAGGACCTTGCTGCGCGGAAGGTGGTCGTCCATCCGTTGAGTTGCGTGCTGCAGCGACGTGAACGAGCGTTTGACGCGCAGGCTGTTTGGAAGTTGCTGCGTTAACTCCCCAATGTGTGCTAGGCGGAAACTTTGGCATACGTGCTTGGCTGGGAGCAAATAGCGCAGCCTGCGCCAGTCCGTGTGTGCTTTGCAAACTGAAGCAGACCCAGTGCGCCAGCGACCGCGCTGAGCAGTCCCCGAACCTGCCGCAGTTGCCTCTAGACCAAAGCCAAGAGTTACGGGCAGGTTTTGCGCAGGAAACGTGTCGCCGTGACACGTGTAGTCCTCAGCGCGGGTCGCGCGATTGCCTTGCAAGCGAGGTGGGCACCAGCAAGGGCAAGTTGCTAACCGATGTCCATTTCCCGGAAGAGCAGCCGTGGGAAACAGACTTGCAAGTTGTTTTTGGGACAAGACGTGGCGCAGGCAGAGTTTGAGTTTGACATGTGCCTGCGAGGAGGTCTACTTAGCAGATCGCAACGTCATGCGCGCGCTGCGGCCAGGCAGTGTGTTAGCTGAGACGCGCTGCAAGGACAGAAAGAGAAATGCTGAAGGTCCCGAAGCATTGCAGTTGACAGGTTGGTGGTGTTGATTGTGGGCAAGTTTGTGTCACATCGTGGACTTGTTCAACTCCGGCGATGACAGAAGGGGCCGGCGTGGGGCCTGGAGTGGTGAAAACAAGGAAAAACAGTGTTTTTCTGTGTTTCAGTGATGTCTGGCTGGTGTCTGAGGCAGAAACATATGCACTGGGGAAAGAAAATGCAAAAACCTCGAGGAAACCAAAAAAACCAAAAAGAAACAAAACAAGCAAAAAACAAAAAACAATAAAACAAATAAAACCAAAGCCCTGGGGACATGCATTGGCCTAGCACCTTTTGTCTCTCCTGAACAAAACTCAAAAAGCCTCGAGGAAACCAAAAGAAAAAACAAAAAACAAAACAAGCACAAAACAAACCCATAAAGCCAAAGCCCTGGGGACATGCATTGGCCTGGCACCTTTTGGTTTTATTGTTTTTTTTTGGTTTTTTTGGTTTCCTCGAGGTTTTTTGAGTTTCTCAATTTTCGATAGCGCCTCAAGCAGTGTAGCTATTGACTCCCCGCACTTCTGCCTTCTTTGTCCGAAATGGCCGTCGAGGCGGAGAATCTGACTTTCGAAGATCTTCACAATCTTTGTGATGGGATAACTTGTCGCAACGGGGATTACCTGTAGTATTGCCCTAGTATAACTCTAGTATTCTCTTGGCACACCCCCAGCATTTCCATCCCTACCCCTCTAGTACTCCATTTAAACTGCTCAGTAAGAGAAGCGGAATACTAGAGGATTACCTTTAATATTGCCCTAGTATTCCCTTGGCATTCCCAAAGTATTTCCATAGTATTGCCAGTATTCTCTTGGCATACCCCTAGCATTTCCATCACTACCCTCCTAGTATTCCCTTTAAACTGTCCAGGAAGAGCAGGGGAATACTAAGGGAGTACTCTTAGTCTAGTAGTCCTAAAGTGTTATCTTAGTATACTCCTAGTATTCCCTGAATATTCCCCTAGTATTCTCATATTATTCACCTTTAGTATTCCCTGAGTACTCCCCTATGGTGGCCCTAGCAAGGAAACTAACAGAACAGTATATTTCCCTAGTATTCTCATAGTATTCACCTTTAGTATTCCCTGAGTTCTCCCCTATGGTGTATTCCTCACAAACTGCCGCGTTTTCATTATTTGCACAACTCCAGGCCCCATGGCGGCCCGCTCTCGGCGATTACGTGTGTCACGTGTCTCTGGACGCGCGCGACAAACGGCTGTCCTACATTGACGGCGTTGTTTGCACGCGGTGAAGAAAGAAACCCTTGCTGGGCACTTGCGCGTCACGCTTGTGGCGGCGAAGCTTGCCCACTGCAATCCCAAGCCACCAACCCCGTCTTGAAGCGTCAGTGCCCGCTTCATATGGTTGCGCATGTCAAGTTGTTTGACAGGCAAAAGGCCTGGGCACAGGCAGCTGCTAACCAGCCTGCGCAGGCTTGACAGTAAGGCTGGACACACATGTGCGTGACATACATATGTATATACATACATATATATATATATATATGTAGATATGTACATATCATACGCATGATACATGCACACATATTTGTTTATTTGCTTGCTTTTTTATTTGTCCATTTGTATATGTTTTTGATTCTTTTTTTTTGCGTACGGTGCTTCATTTTAGACCCAGCAAACATTCAATACGAAGACACCAGGATACCGAAAAAAACTTCGTCCGGGGCCGAAGCTGTTGGAATTGCCACTCCCAGGCACAGTGGTAGAATCATAGCACCCTGTTCCTTTGGTGGTTTCGACCTACGGGTTTGGACAATTGGGAAGCCATGGAGATTCGGTCAAGGGATCCCGTTGGTTGCTCACTGAGCCCTTATTCTCCCGTGTCTACGCAGAACTCCCACATGTTTTGACCACAGAAGGGGGTGTCTTTTGATTTGAATAGCAAACTCTGCAGCAGACGCGCTTGGGGATGTACATGTGCGCGTGTCTTTTTTTGAGGGTTCCCCTTTTTGGTTGGTTGTAAAAGGGAAACCAAAAAGGAACCATTTCTGGGGTCCCCGAAAAAAACCGCCCCTTTTTCTGCAATGGACAGGAGGGCCTGGACATGGCTGCGTTGCCTCGTGACGAGCTGGCGGCCAAGATCCGGCGCGTGTTGCCCTTCTTGTCGGAGCTGTCCGAGAACAAGCGCTTCCCCTTACCTATGTCCGCCTCCATGCGCCTGGGTTGTGTTTTTCTGGAATACATGTTGCTAAATAAATAGATTGTATTTGTTCAAAAAATGTATTAAAGTTGTACTGAAGTTTGAAATTATTGATTTTTTTTTTTTTAAAAAAAAAAAAAAACAAAAACATATGTGGTTTTTTGGTGTGTGCGCTTGGCGCCAAGCGCGTCCTTCTCTTGCCGTGCCGCCTCCGCTACATGCCCAGTGTCGGACACCAATGATTTTCAATACCCTGAAGCTGTAAATGAGTTTTCTGGGTTCCCAAATTACACCCCTTTTCCACGACTATTCGGGGCGTGCAGGTGCCGCCGGGTTCGCAGCTTCGGTGAATGAACAGTGTTGAGGTTTGTTTCCTTTTGCGGTCAAGAATCCTGCAGTGTTTTTACCTGTCAACTTGTCCAGCTTGTTATGCTTCCTGCGGCTCGTGACTTTCAGTTGTTTTGGAGATGCATCTCTTTTCCTTTGACAACATACCGAATGGGGCTTCAACCAAATTTGGGAACCTAGCATTTTTTGCACCGCGGCCAAAGATGGCACAAGCTGACGCCCCGAGATTACACGTTGCCCCAAAGGTGTGATTGAAAGTGCCACCGCGGCCAAAAAAACATGGATCCACCCTCCCCCTTGAACTGCCCTCTCCCTTGTACCCGAAAGCAGAACAAGGCCTTAGGCCTTCTTGCTGGTGCTCAGTAGGGAATGAGAGGATGAATCTGGGGATTCTAAATGAAAGGAAGCCACCAGTTGGATAGTTTTTCTTCGGGGTCATTCCATTTCTCAGGGCCCCTGCATCTCTCGCAGCAGAAAGTTACACACCCTGGTACATGTAAAAAAACACAATCCAAGCCAGTGGAACCCATCCAATGTCTAACCAAACTTCTTGCTACAACAACTATTTCCATGTTTTCAATGGTTGGCAACAAGCGTCAGTCATCAAACTCGCCCATCAGAAGGATCGACGGCCTTGGAATTTGCGAGGATCGACGCGCATGCGGCGGTGGTGGAGCCAGCGCCCACCGAGATTCAGTGGCCGAAGCTCTTCGAGCCCCGGCTGCTGTGCAGCCACGCTCAGCGGATCCTCGCGCTGCGCCTTGGCCGATAGGCCCATGGACGTGGGGCTGAAGTCGGGTGCTTTCCATTTTGAGATTGTCTGGTTGGTTGATTGTTTTGGTTGATTGTTTGGTTGGTTGGCTGTGTGTTTTGATTGGTTGGTTGATTGGTTGGTTGGTTGGTTGGTTGGTTGGTTGGTTGGTTGGGTGGTTGGGTGGTTGGTTGGTTGGGTGGTTGGGTGGTTGGGTGGTTGGGTGGTTGGGTGGTTGGGTGGTTGGGTGGTTGGGTGGTTGGGTGGTTGGGTGGTTGGGTGGTTGGGAGGTTGGGTGGTTGGGTGGTTGGGTGGTTGGGTGGTTGGGTGGTTGGGTGGTTGGGTGGTTGGGTGGTTGGGTGGTTGGGTGGTTGGGTAGTTGGGTGGTTGGGTGGTTGGGTGGTTGCTGGCTTGCTTGCTTGCTTGCTTGGTTGGTTGGTTGGTTGGCTGGCTGGTTGGTTGGTTGGTTGGTTGGTTGGTTGGTTGGCTGGCTGGCTGGCTGGCTGGCAGGTTGGTTGGTTGGTTGGTTGGTTGGCGGTTTTTTGGTGATGTTGTGGTGCTTGTCTGGTTGTGTTGTAATGTTTCGCCGCGCGTGTTAGTGAACCTGCATTGATGTTTGCAAGTATTGTTTCTTTCGATTGCGCTTGGTGGCTTTTGGTTGCTTTGCCCATTGACATCAACCATTTCAAGTGGACTGCAAAAAAGATCCAGGGGTGCCCCCTCGGTGTCATTTTTGGTGGTTTCAACCATCACATGTTGGGCCAATCAATCTTTCAGATGAGTTTCCTACGGGCGTGATGTTTAAAGAAGAAGAAGCAGAAGAAGAAGAATAACAAAAAATACTCTCGCCCTGAAAATGTGTACCACGTCTTTTGTGGTTCTTTTCGGTTTCCATTTTTCAACTCCCAAGCTGAGGTCCCACCACGGCCGTGGCGCGCTGATCACCCCCGGGTCCTCGGTGGCGTCGCCTGTGGCGCTGCTGGGCGTCCACGGCCCGCTGCGGGCGGCCCATTGGGACGCCAAAGGCCTGCTGCTGTTGGCCTCCTCGGGCGTGACCTTCGAGTGCGAGACGCCGGCGGCGGATGCCTGGAGCTGCCGCGACTTGAGCCCGAGCTTGAGCCTGTGCTTGTTCTTCTTTTTTTGCGCTGGCCTTTGGGGGCTTGGGTTTTTTTGTTGAAGGGTGCAACAGGCCAAGCCTCTCACTTGAACATTGAAGGGGGCTTGAGCGCCACATTTCGCAGAAGTTCGATGTCTCACAAGGGAAACTTGGTTTTGGGAGCGTATTGAAGGGAGCTTACAGGAAACCATCTATTGTAGGGGTTCCCCGGTTTCTGGATTTGAATCAGGGGGCTGATGATGGACATCCTGTACACGGGAGTTCTTCCACTCATGTTCAAGGGTGTTCCCAACCAAAGTCTGAGCTAGGGGGAAAGGCGGAAAAAGGCAGCCGGAGAGGGTCGAAGGAAGGACGGTTTGTCAGCATTCCCCCCAAAAACCAGCAAGAAGGTCCACAACAGACCAGATCATGGGTCGTTCATTTTCGGCACAGATTTGAGAACATTTTTTTTGTCGGCCGGGTGAACTAGGGGTCCACACATGCATGTTCTCATATCCTCTCCATTGAGTCCACCAAATTGTGCCCCCAAATCACGCCACCGCATTCCGCAACTCTCATTTTCGGTGACCCCCCTCACATGGGCCCAGCGGCCTTGCGTGCGTTCTTTTTTGCCGGGCGGAAGGCGCCTTCTCCCTCAACACCTGTCTTCCTTCTTTTTTTCTTGGCGTAGGGTAGACTGCCCTCATGTCCACGAACATGGAATCCACCAGGGGAACATGTCTCTTTGAAAGGAACATCATCTTCTAGGACCATTCCCCAACCTGCGTAATTTCTGGTGCCCCCCCAAAAAATGGCCCAGCGCGGGCCTTGCGTTTGACGAGGCGACACCCGGCTCCCGGCGTTGCCGCTGGGCGGCAGCCGCGGGGCCGTGGCTTTGTCCCGGGGCCTCCACGGCGGCTTCCGGGCCGCGGTGGCGGATGAGGACGCCCAGGTGGCGATCTTCGGGCACAGCGGCCAGGCGGAGGACGGGGGAAGTTCTTTTTTGTTCTTTTTAAGACACCTGGAAAACACACAGTCCTACATCTAAACACCTAGATCCAGACCCAAGAGTTTTTCGGATCCCCGGCTCCGCGCGAAGCCGCGCGTTTGCGCGGTTCCGCGTTCGCTAGGACGGGTGGCTGATCTCCGGGGAGGTGCGCAGCAAGGCGGCGGCGGTGTCTGCCGCCTTCCACCCCAATGGCTTGGAGCTGCTGCTCACCTCCCAGGAGCCGAAGCCCCGAAGCCCGCTTTGCCTCGCTCGGAGGGAGGTGTTGGCTGGCGGTTTTTTGGGGCGGATTTTTTTTTCAACCCTGTGCATTTTGCTTGGTGAACTTTGGTTGGAAAACCCGTTGGTGTTCCTTTCAACCCTTTGGTTGGGACTTTGGCCCTTTTTGGCCACCAAATGGGTTTTCCGTGTTAGACCACGAAGAGTTAAACTTTTGGCAGGGGAGAAAGCAACCGAGAACCGACTCACAAAGGAAAACACTCAAAACAGATAGACCCGCATGGAAAAGGGTAGGGGAAATCGGACAACCCATGAGCTCGCCGCGTTTCCTTTCTTTCTTTGTTTTTGGGAGAGAGAGAGAGAGAGAGAGAGAGAGAGAGTCAAAGGGACACCAAGCGGAAAACAATTCAGACAGCCATTGAAATGGCATGGTTTCCGTTTAGGTGCGTGTTTTTTCTTTTGTGATGCCCTTGTCAGGGTTTAAAAGAGAAGCCGACAGGAGAACCATCGTTTTGGTGGGTCCAACTCCCGATTTGCACACATACCCGGTCCATTTTTTAGGGCACGCTCCAATGCCCATTCAGGTCCATAGTGGCAGGGTTGCTCACTGGCTCAAGATCAAAATCCAAGGGTCCATCGGCTTGTTTTTCGCCCATTTACCTGGAACTACCTGAATGTTTGAGGGTTTCCTTAGGGTACTGCACGAGGCTTGGTAAAAAAAGAAAAAACAACAACAGAGCAGGTGGTATTTTCAACAGCCTGTCCCTTTCATAGGACTCTGAAGTTCGATGATCAAAACTGATGATGCCCTGAAATGGTTCGCAGACACAAATCCATTTGGGTATGGGTCAAAATTCGTCAGCACAGGGATATGGACCGCAGGTTTCAGTGGCCGGTTACCACGGGGCAACCCGCTTTGGGGTTACCAACCATGTCTGATCATCCAAGCAACCATCAGTCAGAAGTTTCATCATCCCAGTTCTAGGGCTACCTTCCATTTCCATTCTTTCCAGCAATCCTTCTTTCTAGGACACCTCCAGAAACCCAGGGAAAACGGATCCGGTTTTGAAAAGAATGATGGTTGAACAGAATGGATAAGGAATCAAGCCCTAGAGCAGTTCTTCCTCCAAGCAACCATCAGGTTTCATCATCCCATCAACCCCTAAACTTTCGGTGGCTTTAGGCATCACTCTCCTGACTTGGCTTTTTAGGCCAGTGGTTAGTGGATATAATCAACCAGCCAGTCCCGGGACTTCCCCCAGGACGGCGCCACAGCCCGTCTCCACCTGGGCACCGGGCGCTTTGCCCCGGCCGCCGGGCCGCTGAGCGGCTGCCGCGCCGCCTGCGCCCATGAGGCCCACGAGGGCCACGAGGCCGGCGTGGCGCGCCTGGCCACGGGGGAGATGGGCCCCGTGCTGGTGCTGGCCTGAGGACCGCAGTTTCCGGGGAGGCAACGAGAGCCGCGCGAGGAAGCGCGAGAGGGAGTCTTGCAGGGATTTGTTCGGAAGGGTGTTTCTCTTTGGACGCTGGGAGAGAAAGCGGAAGAAGAAAGAAGGAAGGGAGGGAAAAAGAAAGAAACACATATATTTGCAAAGGTATTTGTGTCCGTCCAAGAGTGTGTGTGCTTCTTCAAACTCGTCTATTTCTGATTTTTCAGCCAAGCATGTTCAACATAAGGTTTGTGTTGGATATGCTATGGGACACCCACAGCCCCTTGTCAGATGTTTTTTTCAATTTCAGTTGTGAGTTGCCATCGGGAGTGGTCTCCCCCAAAGATTCATGGGGCACATTGGCTGAAACCAGCCTGAATGGTAGCTGGCTGCTTTGGGACCCGGATGTCTCGGATAGCCCCGGAATCGTCCAACATCGGATGCCAGGGCTTTCTCCCAATCTCAAATCGCGCAATGGCCGTGCCCTCATTCTCAAGAGAATGGACCTGGGGTTCCTCGGTGCCCCAAAAGGAGGTCGTTTTCCAGACCTTTGGCAGCTTCCATTGGGAGGGTCAGTTTCTTTCGCTCAGGGGCTGTCAGCTCCCAAGCCCTCCAGGAAGCCGAGTCATGCCACTTTCAGCTGCAAAAGGCTGAGCGGTGGCCGCATAGTGTAGCGCCCCTCGATTGTCGATCTGTGCTCTGAAAGAGACGCAAGCTACTTTCTCGGCCTTGTAACGTCTGGGGTGCGCATGACGGCACCAAAAGTGTGGACAGGCAGCTTGCCGTTTCTCCTCTCGGAATATTGCTGTTCGTTGGTGACTGTCAGATTGCGCTGCCGCGAAACTTCGATTCGAACCTGAGATTTGTCTGACAAAAAGGGCGCCAGACCGACCACTTTGCCGGCTGCTTGGGGCTTCTTCTTATTTTGCAGAGCGCTGGACGCAACCCTACGCAAAACTGCACGAGACAGGCGAGAAGGCAGGGGATTTTGTGAAAGGTCTTGGTAAGCTCTGCATTGCTTCAAGATGGACATGCACGAGCTCCAAGGCGGCCCCAAAGCCCTGCGAACTTGTAAGATCAAGAAGTCAAGAGTGTGTGAAGAGGTTGATTCCGTTTGCTTCTCCAAGGTTTTCTTGTTCATGTTGTTTTTTGGGGAGTGTTCCACTTGGTGATTGTTCCTTCTGCCTGTCAGTTCTCTGATTTGGTGGCTTGCCAGCTTTGCTAAGGCTCTGTGTGGCAAGGGAGGGATGGGTTCCAATTCGCCGTGGGAGCTGCGCGTGTGGGGATTTGGACGAGTCGCAACTCTCCAACCAGGGGCTGGGGACGAACTTTTTGCCATGCGGCCAACGGCCAACTGATTTAAAGCCTAAGCCGTCGACTGGTTGGATCCTTCGGGTCGATTTTCTTCTCCTTTTGCGTACTGGCCTTTTTTCGAGTGAATTTCCTCGGTGTGGTTTCTCTGCAAAGTGGAGAGCCAGCAACACATATTGCGAGTCTTGGCTTTGAGTTGCCATTGATGGCCCTTTGGTTGCGGTTTCCTGTTTGATTTCAAGGGCAACCAAAAGGGACTCCGCAAGAGAGTCGCTATCTTGGTGGCTCCCAGCCATCCCCTTAGCTTTTCAGCCTTTTAGTGTTTTGTGGTAGTTTCCATTCAACCCACTACAAGTTAAACCTTTAGCGGGGGATCAGAAAACGGGCAGCCCAGCTATGTGTCCTTCCCTCTATTCATGCCCCGTCCCTTTAGCAGGATGCCTTGTAGATGTGAAGAGAGAACCATCAGCACCTTTTTTCCAGTGGAAGCGCCTGTTTTGTTGCTTTCCTCATAGCCCCCCCTTCTTGGCTTGGAGTGGCTGTGGGGGAACGAGGCATTAATCGAAACACATCAACCATGCAGAATATGAACATTAGGCACATTAAGCAATATGTACTCATTCGCACATGCACGTCAGGCGTGTAAACCTAACGACCTTGACACATATACATATATATGTATATGTATGTACATATATAGATAGATCTCCCTTCCCTCCCTCCCTCTCTCTCTCTGTCTCTCTCTCGCTCTCTCCATGCACATATGCACACCCAATCTCATATATTTCTATATATGTATATATGTATATACCTGTGCATTTGTATGTATTTGTACAGAGAGCGAGAGCGAGAGCGAGGCTGATCTTCGGTGAGGTGTGGCTCCAGCTTCTTTGGGCCTTCGGCCCTTCGGCCCTTCGGCCCTTCGGCCCTTCGCCAGGTGGAGGGCGGGATGCTGAAGCTCCTCGCCGCGCCGGCGGTGGGCGCCGGCGGCTACTTCGTGCTGGCGCGGGGCTTTAGCGGGGCCCCGGCGCGGCGTGCCAGGTTTGAGCTTGGGGCCGACGGGGGACATAGAAAATGGACCCGACTGCCCCACAACGACTCTTGTATTGTCATACGAGAGGCTATTTTTTCTCCGACTTTCAGACATCGTTGGTGCTTGAGCCCCTCCACAAAATGGTTGGGACATGGAGATCTCTGTTTCGGAACCCGTAATATATGGGTTGGTCTTCAGGAACGCTTCAACACGATTTATTCCCCTTGACTTCCCTTGCAATACCCTGACACGGGTGGACGAGCCAAGTGTGAAAGTAGGTGGCCCAATTCTCCCATGTTTTGATTATTTCCCGTCCCATGGGCCGAACGCTAGGCTTCTGCTCCATCTTTGGTACTGGAGACTTGCTAAAACAGGGTTCCCTTCGGGGAACAATTGAGAACGTCGTCTTGGTGGCCACCAAAATAATAAGCAGCACGCCAGGCGCAGTAGAAACAGCAATTCCAGAAGCGCAGCAAAGGGACGGCCAGCGCAGATGGTTTGGATTGGTGAAGTAAAGCAGGGTCCTCCTGGCAGAGCGGGCAGAGCAAGGGGGCTGTTTGTTTTGCAACCTCCTTTTGCAAGCATGGCCCATGTGCAAGATCCGAGGGTGAATCGTGCTTACCAAGTTCCAGTGAGCGATAAGCATGACGCGTCGAGACTAATAAACAGAGCCGCAGTCAGGATGACTGCGACGCGCGACAGTTGTTGTAGAATGTTGGATCCCTTCCAAAGAAGTGTCAACGAACCACTGCAATATTCCTGTGTTGTGGTTGTGGTCGTCAACGTCGTCAATGTCGTCGTTAGTGTATATAGTCAATGTCGGCAAAGACGACGGGGCTTGATGGCTGCGTCCCGTTCCCTAAAACCCTTGTAAATTTACACTTGTGCTTCTATCGCTGGGCGGGGCTAGGTTCAATCGGATTGGTTTGTCAATGTCGTTGTCAATGTCGTTTTCGCCCTCATGGGTATGGTCGTGGTGTGGCGGCAGTGGCCGTGGCCGTGGTCGTCATCGTTGTCGTCGTCGTCGCTGTTGTTGCCATTGTCACACATGCCCGCCCAGGCCCATCAATTTCTGCTCTACGGAGTGATGGTGCGCATTGGCTGCTGAGTTGGTCAAGTGTTGCTTCGACCTTTCATTTGGCTTTGCCAGTGTTACTCTCAACGCCATTTGCCTTTGCAGCTCGTGCGTTGCTCCAACATGGCGACCTGGGGGTTTTGGAGTTTGCCGTCGGCCCTTTTGGAGGTAGTTCTCTCCGCGCGTGCCGCTATCCCCAGAAGCTGGCATTTTGAGCGGAGCCTTTCCAACCAGACAGCTTGATTAGTTTGGAACATGCAGATCAATACACCCTGGTTGATTCGTTGCAACCCTTTTCAGTGAGTGTCGGGACTTGGCGAGCCGCTCCGAGCCGTTCGTTCGTTCGGCCAGGGCGGGTGGGTGTACATTGATGCCTCGAAGCATGCACAGCGGGAGAACGCCTGGAGCCCCAATATCCGGCAGCGAGTGAAACTTGGCCGACGCAGTGCCTGTTTTGGTATTGCGAACAACTGCCTTCAAGGGAGCACACGGCTTTCCACCTTGACCCCCTTCAGTTTGCACATAGAGAGCTACGAAACCCACGCAAGGTCCGCAAGGTCGCGCACCCATTCCTAAAACCTCAGCTTGCTTTTGATGGGGTGATGGTTACCGATGCAGAGATGGAGCCTCCGGGCACCTTCGAAGGCTAAATTTGGTCGTTGCTTCCCCGGGAAGGCAGATGTTGCCCCCAGCTTCCAAGCGGCCAAGCAACATGCTGCAGGGCGGTTGCAGCGCCTGTGCAATGTCATCATATTGTTGGTATGCAGATACGTGTGAATTTGTGTACGCATGTGCATTTATTCGAGCCATGCAAAGCTCCATGCACTTTGCAAAGGATTGTCAATGACATGGGTCTGTCTGACAGGGTTGTGGGATCAAGGGGTTTATCCCTACTTCTGTGATACAAGGGAGTCCCCTCTTCAAATGGGGGGTTCGTCTTCGGGAGGCCGTGGATTCCATTTCCCACAGCCCTGGTCTGTCTTTTTTGTGGATTTTGTTTTTGGGTGGCTTTAAACAGGGCTCCTTAAAAGATCTCCATTTTGCCTGCCCATTTGAAACATGCTGCTTTTGCAACCCCCAAAATTTTCAGTTGGAACCACCAGCATTTGCAAGTTGCAATGCATCCGGGTGTGTTTTGAACATGCATCCGGATCCCTGTTAAGTTGGACACCCCGAAACCGCGGGGCATTTTGGAGTCGAGCGCACGAGCGGAGTCGGGCTGCGCAGGTTGAGATGTACAACCCAGTGGCAGGGGTCTCGGGTCTCGAGTGATGGAGTCAGAAACCGTAGGATTGCCCTGTCACCAAGCAACCGTGGTTTGTTGTTGGGAAAACATTTTTCCCAGTTTGATTTTTTTGTGGTGCAGTGGGTGGGAAACCCCCACTTAACTGCTAAAAAAAATTGTTTGCTCCCCGTCACCCGGTGCTTAAAAGGCCGAACGCCAGGTTCCATGCGAATTTGTGGGAGGCTACTTGCTGGTGCGATAGGGAATGACGGGCTTTGGGAATGAGCCGGTTTTGCATGGATGCTTTTTCTCGGGGTCATTCCATTTCTCATTCGCCTATCGAACCAGCAAGATTC